CATCGATCTGATGTCTGACAGTCAGTCAGCTCTCCCGCAGGAGTTGCAAAGAAAATACGTACTGACTCGGCAGGTTGGCACAGGGGTGTGTGGTGAAGTAAAACTAGCCTTCGAGAGATCCACCTGCAAAAAATTTGCAGTGAAAATAATAAACAAGAAGAATTTTCAGTCTGAAGGGACAGCAACGCGAAATGCGGAGACAGAGATTGAAATTCTGCAGCGAGTGAACCATCCTTGCCTCACAAAGACAGAAGACTTCTATCAGACAGAGGACAGCTACTACATTGTCTTGGAGCTCATGGAAGGAGGAGAACTTTTCCAAAAAGTGAAGTCCCAGGGGCAGCTGAAGGAGTCAATCGCCAAACTTTACTTTTACCAGATGCTGAGAGCCGTCCAGTACCTCCACACCAATGGAATAATCCACCGAGACCTGAAGCCAGAGAACATCCTGCTGTCCTCACACAATGATATCTGTCTCATAAAGGTTACGGACTTCAACCAGGATAGGAGACAGGAGGTGCACGGTCCATCCCCCTGTTCCCCGTCCCCCACGACCCCGTTTGGTATTGCTGATTATTAGTGCGGTACGGGCGTCGACCACGCCTTTTCCCGTACCGCACTTCAGTCCAGTCTTGTTGCTCATAATTCATGATTGTTTTTAATCTTTTTAATTATTTATTACTATTTATTAATGTACTGTATTTATTAAACTATGTATTTATTTATTTGTGTATTTATCTATCTATTTATTAATCTAATGAAATGAAAAAATATTTAAAACAAAAACTGTATATAAAAAATGAATTGTTCTTTAATTTTTTTATGCTTTTTTTGTTGTTTTCTGAAATCAAAATGAAATAAAAGAAAGAAAACCAAATAAAATGCCTATGAGGAGGAAGAAATAAAGAAAAGGTGTGATAAAGAGTGCCCAGTTGCAACGTTTCGACCGCTGTGGGTCTTCTTCAGGCTATGGGCACAAAAAGAAACATGTCCGGACTTGTCTGAGTATGTCTGTGAGATGTTTGCTCTTCAGGACACATAGGAGAAGTGGGAGCCTCCTAACCTTAACCCTAACCCTAACCCCTAACCCTAACCCTAACCATTAGAGGCAACTTAATGACCAACGGCCAAGCAGGCCACAGAGGTCAAAGGTCAAGCAGGACCGTAACCCTAATCTTGGGATTAAAAAATACCTATTAATATGTTTATTAAAGCACAAATATGTGAATAAACATAATTAATATGGATTAAAAGCACAAACGGTGCAGAAAGGGTTAACATTTCAAAAACTAAATAGAGCAGAAAATAACTTAAATATAAGTAAATTCACTCTAATTATTGTCTGAGGGTATAAAAAGGGAGAAAAGTTGGTAGGGCTTTCATTTCCACTCAGAAGCTTGAAGAGAGAACATCTTTAGAATTACCAGCCAGCATCTTTTGTTTTTCATTCAAGAGAGAGTTTTTTTGTTGAGTGAGGTGTGCCAGACCTGAAGAAGACCCACAAGGGGTCGAAACGTTGTCGTGGGCACACATATTTGATTGTACATAGTTTATTTAGAGAAAAAAAGTTTAAAAAATAACAAAAAAATCTAAAAACATTTAAAAACTAGATTAAAACTTAAAAAACATTTAAAAATATTTAAAACCATTTAAAAACAGTTGGAAATACATTTTATTTTAATTTTTATTAAAACAATCAGCATTTTGTTTTAAGAAAAGTTTAAATTTGAAGTTAAGTTTCCTTTGAAGTTAAGTTTCCTTTCCATATGAAGTTAAGTTTCCTTTCCCTTTAACCCTAACCCTAAAAAGAGCACAAAATAAAATTGGAAAATTAAGAAATTCATTGGTATTTTTCACCAGACACTATTAAAAGGGAGAAGTAGGCAGGGTTTATTCATTTCTATTCAGATGCTTGGAGAGACAACATCTCAGCTATTTATCAGCCAACAGCTTTTTGTTTTTCTTATTTCAACCAGCAGCTTTTTGTTTGTCAAAACATTGTCTTTGGCACACAGTTTTATTTGTAAATAGTTCATCTCTATTATTTGTTTTTCTAAAGATGGAATTTGATGACATTGCCACAGAAAACAGTCAGGCCGTCATTGACGCAGCCCTGCCTTTCAATTACGATGTTGAGCGCTTCCTCAGGACTGAGGAAGAGTTCTACATGCCAGTCCACGCTGCCTTCCACCCAGATCCAACCTCCCTGCATCTCTCTTGGGATATTGATGGGGTAATTTTAGAGGTAACCACATTTGCCGCTTTAAAGGCACCCATGCCCTACATTTACTTACCAACTTCTCACCACAGCTTTCCAGCTAAGGCACAGTGGCCTTTTTTAAAAAAACATCTTCCCCTCAGGGAGATGTCAGCTGAGGTGATGAAAGAGTGGAGGCGGGTGTATGGGGTCAACCTGGGCACAGCCGAAGGGGGCTGGGTCATGATCCTTTCCCTTGTCCCAGCTGACAAGGTTATTCCCAGCAACATACTCATATCGGAG